ATTTATTTAATTTTTTTTGAATCATGAGACCGACTAAAATTGTTTTTTTTTTTAAGGGAAAGCTGAACATTATCAGAGTGGTTAAAGCCACTTGATCTGATTTTGAAATCTACTTATTTGTTTGAAAATTGTACTTAAATAACTATGTTTTACAGTACCTCGTGGTACATAGATTTTAGGGATATATGTAGTATTTAATAATGATAATTGAAGCTTTTTTTTGGGATGAGCTCATGGCCACTATTAGTTTCATTAAGATTACTAATTTTATTTAGTTTATAATATTTTCTTAAATAGTTAAGGGATTAGTATTTATTTGTTTTATCATTTAAAAATTATGAAAAAAATTATCTTAAGACTATTTCATTTTAATAAAGCATTGCAAGAAAAAACAAAATACATTTTAATTCATGTTTTAAAAATAAGGTATTTTAAAGATAAAAAAAAAAGGATATTTTAGTTTTTTATAATGAGAATTTATTAAAATAATGTAATTTTGAAATAATTATTTTCTTAATTTTTAGAAGGTAAAATGGATAGTCACTATTTTTAATAGTTAATTATGATATTTAAAAATATCTTTATAAACTAATTTTAATTTGTTAACTAATAAGTATTAATTATTTTATCAATTATAGCTATCAATTAAGAAAAATTTTGATAATTTTAATAACCATAACCATAGCCCTCTCTTTCTCTCTTGTATTTTCTCTCGTCTTTTAGGTGAGAGGGGAATGGTAGACGAGGCACAAAAAGCTTTAGAAGACGCTGAAGCACTAAAGAGTAAAGACAAAGGCTTCAATTTGTGAACTTTTAATGGTGTCATTAACGTGTACTGTTCTTTTTCTTGATGGTTTGCATTATGACTTAATTGTGGATATTTGTTTTTCCATATCTGTTAGCTCCTTGCCAGGAGCCTGTTCTGGATTCCTCAAACTACGCTGCTGCTGATGTTCGCGTTGTGAGTCCTGTATTTCTTTCTTTCAGCTCCACAGAAAGAGAAAGTTGACCAATTTAAGAGAAAAACTAGGCGTGAAAACTTAGACGCACTGTAATTTTATAACGAAAATGTGGAATTTGATTTTTGAAATTAATGCATGAACAGTCAGTCACCTTCTCTAAGAGATTTTGTACAAATAATGATACAGGTTTTTTAGAATTTTTCTAAGTAAAGATATTATCATTTTTTCTTTACAAAGGTCATACCCTTAATTAAAATTTTTTGAGAAATAATAATCTTAATTTGTAAAAAAAAAAAAGTCATATCTTTAATTAAAATTTTTTAAAAAGTAATGTTTTTATTTGTATGAAATCTCCTTTAATTTTATTCAAATTCTTTTTAGTCCATTCATAAGTTAATATTTCATCTGCACTAACCATTTTGATCCAATGTTGTTTCACACGATCAAAAGCTATGTGTTCGTGACATTTGTGGAGCATTTTTGAGCGTTTATGACAGGTACCTTATTTATCCTCAACTTCTTGATCATAACCTTTTACCTTAGCTTTCTAAAGGCTTTGAAGAGTTAGTGCTTCAGCTTTTGATCCGACTTTCATACCTCCTTGTTAATTACCAGCAGGCTTCTGGGCCCAGTTTTAGGAGGATAACTTTTGCAGCCATCTTTTTCTGTTTTATGGCCTTGTAGATCTTGCAATTGTTAGATAAGAAAAAATTGGGAAATTGTACAGTGGATGCTCTTGCAGCTTTTTCTATTTTCTAGGTAAAAGTGCTTTGATTTTTCTTGTTCATTTCTTTTTTTTTTTGAAAATAGGTAATGGATTTCTTGTTCATTTCAGTGACCAACGTTTAGCATATCATTTGGGAGGCAAACTAGCAGAGCTTCAGGCAAGATTATTTATATGCTATCGTGGCTTTGCTTTACAAATTACAATGGGCAGGAAGCCCTTGCCGTTCAAGATTTTGGTTTTACTGATTGCCTGAACTTCTCTCCATAGCTATGTTCATTCAGCTTTTCTCTTCTTTTTCCCCCTTTTTTTAATAAAATTAATCAGACTTTTATTTACTTCCTTCGCCTATTGGATTCTAAAATAACAACAAATTAAATGCTTTTGTGCTTAGTTGGTATCTCTATTCTTCTATTCACCTTTTCATCTTTTCCAGATGTCTTGAAGTTTGTATTGTGAATATGTTTGGTTTAGGTGCTGGTATAATGTTTCACTTTCTTCTATATAGATTCTCAGTTGATATTATCTGTGAGTTTTTCTAACCTCAGAAAAGAATATTATGCTCAATTTTCTAATTTCTTTTGGTTGTTTGTAGATGCTGGCCTTTAAAACGAATCATTTTCTACCGTGTCTGTGCATCTTCAGTTTAAAATGCATTAGATTTGAAATGTCTTGGTTCTCAACCAATATTGATAGATCAGTTTTATCTGCCGAATGAGGGAAAGAAAATGTAAAATATGAAATCAAATAAGACAGAGAAAGTTGAAGAAATGATTTTGTTCTGGGCAATTTAAGAACATAGGAAAAAAAGGGCTCTTAAAATCTGACAATAAGCCTAATGGATGGAAGGCTTGGTTTGGTCAAGGTAAGCTGCCTATTGATTATGCCTGCCATTTAATTCTTACCTAATAGTCCTTGCGGCATGTTATGTTTAGCTAAATTGATGAGGCATCTATATTTTTAGAATTAGCCTCCAGCAAGACTTCTTGTTAATTTTTTTTGTCAAGAAGAGAAAAAAAAGAGCAGCAAACTTGACAGATATGATTAGAGGAGCTAATCCTGATGTATTTTTTATTTCCCCTTAGGGTAAACTGTAAACCATCAGATAGAGAGTGGAGTTGGTGCTAATTTTTTGTTTTTTTTTTTTAAATCTTTTTGGTGGGGCATAGATCAAAAGAAAGTAGAGATCATTAGAGAGAATCTAGTTGGGACCAAGACTTAGTTGATAGTCGTGACAAAAGGAGGGATTATGAACGAAGGAGCAGAGATCGTGGCAGGTATGATCAACGAGATTGTGATAGGG